CATGCATGCATACATGCATACATAAAGTTCTAACGTATAAATATAGAAAAAATATATAGATACATATATAAACAGGTATTTACTCATTCGTTCCTTCGTTTAGTTTTTACTTCTGCATATGTATATCTATGTGCACTCTCGCTCTCTCTCTACACACACACACACACATATATATATATATATGCATATACATTTATGTATGCAAACATACACATGTATCATTACATGCCAAGCGCAGCCAGGACGCCCTTTCTTCTTGGCTCCTGCCTTCACAGCGGGTGCCGGGGCCTCTGCCGGCTGACTCGCCTGAGCTTGCTGCCAATACTTCGGGTCGGATAAGGGATAAGGGTTAGGGTTTAGGGTTTAGGGTTTAGCGTCTAGGGTTTAGGGTTTAGAGTTTAGGGTGTGGGGTTTAGGGTTTAGGGTTTAGGGGTTCAGGGTTTCGGTGCTCACACTCGGACACTCTAGGGTTTCCGGGTTAAGGGTACTTCGGGGCTACTTTAACAGACGAACAACGCCTTAAGTGTGCAGATGTATGTTGGTTTGTTCGCAACCATCATTCACAACTGCATGCCTATGTAGGGCTGTATAACATATGCGTTCATACATACGCAGAAAGGCACAGTTGTATATAAGCATATGTGAAGAGCATGTTAGGTCGATTACCCGAGTTTGGGCACTTAGTGCTAAACTAACCCAGACCTAGAGGACAAGATACCACGAGTCCGGGCACTTCGAACTCCACCAACCCGCCTAGGAAGCCCCCCGAGCCTCAGCAGAGCACCACGAAAAGCTAAACTTCAAGCTCGAAGTCGTGCAACCCTAAGATAACCCACCGCACTAAACCGAGGCTATTGTGTCATATCTTCTGCCAGGACATAGTGGAACCCTGGGCGCTCAACCCTAAACCCTAATGGAAGCACTGTGTATCTGCATCTTGCATCTCCAACACTACATGCAGTGCAAGTCTCGGAATTCGCTTCCGCCTCGTCTTTGCCATCCGCCTTGGTCTATGGGTTTAGGGTTTTCGACTAAGCCCTAATCCAGGGGCCTCAACCCCTCAATCATTACCTATATCATTTTGGGGGGCTCCTTATTATAATATACTATAAAGGACCCCCAAACCCTATTGAAATTATTAAGGCCCCTACATTAGACCCTGAGTGGGCTGAGTGCGGTGGAGTAATTCCGTGCGGGAGGATCTGCAAAGTTCTACACAACTTCTTCATTGCTCGACCGTCATCAGAATCCGACGCCTAAAATCGAAACCCCAAGATCTTAATCCTTCTACCATCAGCCTGACATCCTAAACCCTAAACCCAAAACCCAAAACCCTGACATCCTAAACCCTAAACACTAACATCCTACACCCTAAACCGAAGCCCAACTCTTGAGAACTGGGGCCCGGGCCCCAGTCAACTCTGGAAGCCTCAGCCCTAAGACCGGAAAGTGCTAAACTCCTATGGGTTTAAAGTTTTTCCCTCTCGCATGGCAGAGATCTATGGGGTTAAGGTTTAGGGTTTAGGGTTTGAAGGCTGGGACAAAAAAAAAACATTGTGGCCTCAAGGGTTAGAAGAGTCATTCGGGGCATAACAGGTATAGGATACTCAGATCTGAGTCAGACCCCAATGGTAGACCTGTGGCCTTTCTACCTTCTGAAACTCAAATCAAAAGCCAGATGGGCTTAAGGTTTCTAGTTTTGGAGGCTCGCGAATGAAGGCAGAGCCCTGCGCATCTTTAGAGAATAGACAGGAAGGGCTTCATTTTGGGGGTCTACGAGCTTCGGCTTGCACGCTTGCACGCCCCTTTAGCTCCTCTTGAAAGCTTCAGTCGAAAAGGGAGGAGCCCGGACGGCAAGCTGTTGAGGGTTTTCGGAAGTTTAGGGCTTTTGGGTGTTTTGGGGCACCCCAAACTCCTAAACCCTAAACTCTAAAGCTAGGATTTAAGGGTTTTGGGTTTTGGGGCAACCTAAACCCTAAACCCTAAACTCTAAAGCTAGGGTTTAAGGGTTTGGGGCAGGGCTTCGTCGTCTCCTCTGAAAAGGAAGGCCCGAGGTTCGACAGGATCCTTGATCTGTTTGAAGGTACATAATGTACGGGCCTTAAGAACTAGAACAGGGTTTTAGGGGTAGTCTGTATTAATGTAACTATAGTAAGGAATCACCAAAATAGTATAGATAATTATTTAGGCCTCTATGTTATTCCTTTGAGGCCTGCTCCTCAATGAAGCTGGTAGATGGAGCTCTCAGCTTCCTATCTTCCAATCCCAGAGTCGGACACTGACTTCAAGTTACCACAAACGACTTCAACCAAACACCTGAAACGCACAAATCCAGAAACTAGCTAGCTCCTCCGAAACCTTGATGCCTGAACCTTGATGACAAAAAACATAAGCATGTAGGTACGAATGACAAACCTCGTCAGCCACAACTTAACTTAGCTGCCTAGTACCCTGCCCCAAAATAGTTTAAACTTTTCTTTTAGTAAGGATTTTGTATACCAAAAACTTTGAAGTTTACCTATTGGACTCCTAAACTACGAGTACTGGCCGAGCAGCGCGGGCCGGTCGCATCTGCTGCATCGAGGACTGCTGCTGCGGTTGCTGCGGCTGCTGTTGTTGCTGCTGCGGCATCTGCCTGGCTAGGAGTTTAGGGCTGAGGCTGTTTGACTTGTTAGACTGACTCATGCTTTTGGAGTTTAGGTTTGTGCATAGGTTTAGGTTTTAGTTACTAAGTTTAAAGACCTTTAAAAGCTAGGGCTCGCTAGCAAGCGCTTGACCACTTTCCAAGAACTTAGGTTAAGCAAGAAAGGGAAAGCGGCTGCTATGAACAACTCGGCTGCTGGAACTGCTGCTGTTGCTGAGGCTGGAAAGCCTGTTGCTGGGGCATCATCATTGGATGGCCTCCCACTTGGTTCTGGCCTTGCTGCGCGTTGGCGTCCTGTCCGCCGCAGGCCCAACCTCCCTGCTGGTGGCCCTGGTCCATCATCTGCTGGCCCTGCTGGTTGGGCATACCCATGACGAGCATCACCTGCTGACCGGGCATCCCCATTGCGGCGCCATTTGCGGCCATCATGGGTACCTGGCCCATCTGCATGTTCATCCCGTTGTTACCGTCTTGGGTCTGCACAAAGCCGTACTGCTGACCGGTCATGAAGTTCTGCATCTGCGATTGGTCCACGAAGTTGGGCTGCTGCATGGTTTGTCCCTGCATCTGTCCATCCTGAGGGTACTGACCCTGGCCTTGCTGCGGCATGGTGACGTAGTAATACCTCGGCTTGCCGCATAACACGACCGTGTCTACCCTCTCCATGAAAGAAGAAAGAGGTCTACGGACTACACATGGCGGATCTCGCTGGGAAGCCCATGCACCAATGCTACACTACATAGTCCTAGTCTGGGCTCCAATCATCTTCCCCCCCAAAATGCACGGTGCGGCCCAGCGAAACGCAGGAGACTGAACCTTCTAGCCCAAGCTCCAAACGCCACAATAAAGACAGCGCTAATCGTCAAGAGTCATGAACTCATTATGTATATATATATATATATATAGCCCATCGCCACCATCATCATCACCACCAACATCAGCATCATCAGCATCACTATCATCACCAGCATCAGCATGACGCCGGCTGCAATAGAGACAAAGGCGCATCATCTGAGCCGGCGCCTGGTTGTTTGCCATGGCTTCCGGGGCCAGGCGCGGCACGGGTTTAGGAGGCTAGTCGACTAGCCTTGGATTTGATCAAAATAGCTTTCTGGCGGCGGCAAAACCGTGAGATCGCGAGGGCGGGGGGTGTCTTAGGTTTTGAGCTTCAGGGTTCTAGGTCTTTGGGTGTAAAGGGGTCCAAGGTCTAGGGTTTTGGATTCTTAACAAATGGGGGATACCTAAACTGAGTAGAAAACAGAGGGCAGCTCCTTAAATGAAAGCTCGGCGCTTGCAGAACTAGAGCATCTTGAAGCATGTTGCGTGGGACCAATGGGATCAGTGGAGACGAAAGGTATACAAAAGGGGCCTTAATAATTAGAATAGGATTTGGGGCCCATTATACTACAATTATAAATAATAAGGAACCCCCAGAATAGTATAGGTAATTACTAAGGCCCCTAAATTATAGGTATAGAACCCTAAACCCTAAACCCTAAACCCTAACCGTTATAGGTATAGCTGGACACCCAGGGCCCAAGAAGTCTTTTTGCTCTCTCGCCGACGGCCTCAGCGATCGGCCGTGCCACGAGGGGTGGCCATCCTCGTTTCTTTTTTTGGGATGTGGCACTTGGCGGTTCATGGGTAGTTATAAGTAGGGTTATAAGTAAGGTAACTATAACTAGTTGTAACCGATATTAGGTGACTTATGACCCCATTTATAACTACCCATGAACCTCCAAGAAGTGTTTAGATGGCTTCCGGGCATGGGTTGGCGTCAGTTGTTTCGTTTTGTGTTGGGGTGGGATGGGGGGACTACAGGTTCGCAAGGGTTGACACGTATTTCCCAAGCAGCGCCGACGAGAGGCTGAAGGATTGGGTAATATTCTTTCAATACGTCGGGCTCCGCAGAAAGGAAACATTTAGTGGACATGATCTCCGGGTGCTGTCTTTGGTCTATACATGTAACACATGATGTGTCGACGATCGCTGACAATTCCGTACTAAGCCCAAGAACTAGAGAGCCCTAACACCTCAAACCCTCAAGTCATAGACTTCCCAGACCCTATAGACTGCAAGAAACACATTTCACCTTTCCGTGGTTGCCGTCCTTTCTGGTTGTAGGACCCTTACCCGCAATCATCAAAAAGGCTCTCCATCTTGTTGAACAAGCCTAAACCCCCTGACAACCTTCGGGGTCTCTGACTGAATCCCTGCCAAGCCTTGGTGCAGACCCTGTTTCTTTCACTCTGCAGACCCGTCCAACAATCGCAGAACAACCCCGCAATAAACGTGCTATAAACCTGTATCCCTGAAGCCTATGACTCTGAACCCTTCAAAACCCTAAAATCCTATAACTCTGAACCCCTTAAAACCCTAAATCCTATAACTCTGAATCCTATAACTCTAAAGCCCTAAATCCTATAACCGTACAGAGCAAACCAAGGCTCTCCAAGTATTCTGCCTCAGCCTCGCCGTTCGCCGTGGCTTCGACAGCAGCGCACTCCTCTCTTAACTCCAAACCCCTAAACCCCTAAACCTTAGACTAGGCCCTTAACCCTAAACTGGGCCCTTAACCCGGGTTCATAAAGTTAATAATGATTTATAATAATAACGGCTCAGTTTGTTCTTGAGCGTCCCTTCAATTTGCCGTCTCCCAAATATCTGAGAAAGCGGCATTCCACCGGGCGTGTAGCTTGGAACCCTGATGTAGGGATCGGAATAATTACCAAAAACCACTACTGGGGGTTCCTTATTGTAACTGTAGCAACTATAGTATAGCATACCCCCAAATCCTAGTCTAACGCGTGAAGCCCGTGTGTTATCTGGGATAGAGGCTTGAGGATTCAAGCTTCAAGGCGAGGCTTCACAACATCTCGCCCAACTACCAACTACCGACACCATTCTGCGTAATTCAGAAGATTGAGTGTCTGGGTCTTTTGGGCTTAGCTTGGCAGTTTCAGGCGTTTTGAGGATTTAGGCCTTGGGCTTCTGACAAGCTTACGAAGCTTGAAGAAGCCCTGTCCCGTTTCACTTCGAGATTCAGGCTTTCAACCTCTGTTGCAATTGCTATCACGAAGACATCCATCCAGGCGCCGAACTCACATCATGCGGTTTCGGGTTTAGGGTTTAGGAAACCCTCCCCGATATTTAGCCCCTCACAGCAAGCTTCAACGGTATGAGGCCTTGAACTGCTGAGCTCTACTTCCCCAAACCCAAATCGAAGCCCCAGAACCCAAAACCGTGAAGCCCTCAGCCCCCCCAAACCTCTCAACCTTCTAAACTGTACAAGGCCTCCAACACTCTATATAAAGCAACATCGAAGCCAACAACCCCCCAATCTCAAGCCCTGCTCCGCCCCTTCCTCCCCGAGCCGTAGGCTGCTAAACATGGCATAAACCGAAGCGTTAGGGTTTAGGGTTTAACACTGACAGACTAACAAACAAAAACAAACCCAACGCTTCGGAACGCTTGGGGCCCTGCCCTAAACAACCCTAATGAGGGTTGTTTAGGGTATAGTGTTTAGTCTAGGGCCGACTTTTGAAGGGCCGCCCGAAACAGCACCATATAGTTTTCTGAAATAACACAGGGTATGCAACCCTAAATTCAGCCACACTTGCAGTCCCTCTTGCCTCGAAGGCCGCCCCCCGCAACTCCCGCTGCTTCCTGACTGCCCCAAGTTGCAAGCATCTTTCACTATAAGGGGTCAAACGCTTGTTGAGGTGCAGGATTTATAAACCTTTCTGCTTGATTGCCGGAAGCAAGGTCCGTTAACCCGGTGTCTACCTTCTGGGGCAAGCTGAAAGTCAAGCAACTGTCCTCGACACGCAGCATTCGGTTAGAGACTAAGGCGGTAACAAGGAGAATGTAGGTAGCTACGGGATTCATGCACTGAAGCTCATACACGCTTCGAGAGAGAAGAAACCTTAATTTGAAGTAGCCATTGCCGCAAGCTCCCTCCGAGCACTGATAAAGTGGATGTTGTTTTGGATGTGCACCCAAGGTACAAAAGTGTCATGGCTTCGGTTTAGGGTTTAGGGTTAAGGGTTAAGGGTTTAGGGTTTAGGGCACATGCACACACTTGGACAAGCCAGGCGCAGCCATAGGCGCCCAGTCGGTTGAGGTGAAGCTCTTCCAAGACCGGTCTTGTCACAAGGAAACAGCTGGAGGTAGGTAGGTAGGTAGGTAGGTAGGTAGGTAGGTAGGTAGGCAGGGAGGTAGGTAGGTAGGTAGGTAGGTAGGTAGGTAGGTAGGTAGGTAGGTAGGTAGGTAGGCAGCTAGGTAGGTAGGTCGG